CATTAAAAAAAAAAAAAAAAAAAAAGAACCTCATTGATTTAAAACAAATCAGCTGCAATTCAGTCTTCTGCCTTATCTAGAAAACTTCACATGATTCTATGGCTTTCAGCCAGTCTAATTGTGTATTTAAGAGATGAGTAATGTAATGCCCCAAGAAATGGAGTGGGGGAGCTGTCTGCTTCTAACTGCAAGACTACAATCTGGAGTTCTCCTGTAGGTGAAGCAGGAGGGAAATCTAGGACCTGCTAAAGGTGTGAAATGTGCAACAGAAATGAGAAAGCTAATCAAAGGAGGAATAATCACAGATTGCACTTTAGTTCACTTGGAAATGCAAAGCAGATTGATCCATCATTGGCATGTAGCCTTAACCTAAAGAGTCTCCAGTGATTCACTTAAAGCATGTCTGTTTTAACAGGATTTTTTGCCACTTTTTGCCACCAGCTTTTGTACTTTATAGGCAGCATATTTGTCTGATTGCATGATTCTTGCTACATGAGTCCACAGCAAGGCTCCTTATTGTCGGACTGCTCTTCCTCAGGGGCTCGGAGTTTCAGAAGTGGAGGATCTCCACTGGCTGGGGTGAAGTACACCTGACTGGGGGAGACTGCCTCGGCGGCAGGCGTCATTTCAGGATCTGGCTGAGCCTGAATGGCTGTCACCTCAGCTGCTGCAACGGAGGGCTCCTCCTCAACGGGCGAGGGCAGCGGTGGTGCAGGTGCTTGGTATTTATTGAGCTTAGCAGCTGCCCGCTGGCGTTTCAGGTCAGCCAAGGTGTGGTGTGATTTCTCCCGAGTCATATTGTCTGCCCCCTCGCCCTCTGCAGACCCCACTCCAGACACAGAGCCGAGCTGGTAGGAGGCGCTACGCTCCATGATTCCTCCCCCACTCCACTGCTCTCCAGGTACAGAAGATGCCAGAGAAACAGAGGTCTCTCCATTCCCTAGGCTGGGCATAATTTTCCTGTCTGCAGCCTCCAGTTCTTCCAAATGTGATGTTGCTGCACCTCGAGTAGCAACCTAAAACACGAGGGGGGGGGGGAGACAAACAAACAAAAAAACATTTACACTGTTTGTAATGGTCACAAAAACAGTAATGAGAAACATTTTCCAAACAAAACCTCCATCACCGTGGTGGCATGCTGGTGCAACTCATTGTCGGTCTGTCTGTCCTCATCGTCGTCCTGCGGCTCGGGCTGTCGACCGCGCTCCTGCCACACCATGGCCTCTTTGTGGTGCTCCCGGCGGTAGAGACTGGAGCGCTCGTTCACGCTGACGCGACGCACCACTTTACTGCACATAGAAATGAGAGACAGGAGGGGAAGCAGTAAAACAATGATCCATTTCAACTTCGGTGTATGCTTTT